AAATGAAACTAACACACTAACATGCAAAACACAAAAACAGAACACTAATCATGTTCAACATAAGTTCAGCACCAAAAATTCCCTGGCAACGATGCCAATTTGATGAAACGAATTTCGCTACTCGTTATGCACAAAGATTGTTGTTAATCCTCATCAAATATGCAAAGAAATGAATGCAGTACTAGGGTGTTGTCCTAGGTCGTCTCCAAGGAATTTTTGGTTGGGAACATACATCGAACAAGTGTAAACATAGAATTGAAAGCAAGTAAATTGGGGGGAGGTTTGTCAATTTCCAGATTTTAATCAAGAGAAAAATGTAAACTAGTGAAATTCAATCAATTAAGGAGAGTAATCCCTAGTCAATCAATGAGTTCTATCCCTATTCTTTCAAATGATTCAATAATCCCTTATTTTTCCCTTGAATTAAGTTAATCTATCAAGCATAAATTAACTTTAGCATCCCAATTAAAATTAAGCATCTTAATGGGCTCCAATCTCTATCCCTAAGATTAAGCAATCTCAAAGATTAATCAAAATTAAGCAATTTTGGATTAGAATTTCGTTTAGGTAATTTATGGTTCATTAAGCAATGTTCCCCTCATGTAAATTTCATTTCATTCAGAGATTGGGGTTAATAGATCCAAGGAAAGAAAGAGTAATATTGCCATTAAACCCCAAGAATTCAAGAACCATATAAGTTGACTAGGAATTACAAGAGAATTTAGCCCTCTATATGGATGGGCGTCACAAATAAAAGAAAGAAATGTAGAAACGTAAGCAACATTAATGTAAACTCAATGAGAATCAAAGGGAAATTGGAAATCAAACCTATAATGAACCCCTGGCTGTCACCCAAGGCTCCAAAGCTCTGGAAAGAAAATGTCCTAATTTGGCAAAGAAAAATAAATGTTCAAGTCCCCGTACCCTAATTCCTAAAGTCTATTTATAGTGGAGGACATGTCAGCAAAGTGTCCACTTTTGCCTTTGAAAGTGTCCACTTTGGCCCTTGAAAGTGTCCACACGCATATTTACGTAAGCTTGCCAATTCTCTGGAGTTGCTACTTTTCATGCTGAAAGTAGCTACTTTGGATGCGCATAGCCACTATGAAGGGCAATAGTGACCACGCGCAAATTGCTTCCAAAAGTGGCGTCCTGGAGCTTTCTGGAGTTGCTACTATGAAGGTTGAAAGTGGCTACTTTGGATGTGCGTAGCCACTATGAAAGACAATAGTGACCACGCACAAACTGCTTCTCAAATGGCGTCCCTAGAGCTTTCTAGAGTTGCTACTATGAAGGTTGAAAGTAGCTACTTTGGAACCTTTAATGCCCAGACTTGCTGTAGTTGCTATTTTTTCTCCTGAAAGTGGCTACTTTGGGGGCAACTTTCATCCAAGGGCCAAGATTTCTCAAAATTAACTTGGGGACTTTGCAAAATTATCAAGACAATTAAAATTGCAATCTATATCTATGTAATTAAATGCAAATTAACCAAAAATTAATAAACCTATGATATTTACTCAAAATGTGATTTCTATATTATTTGCACTATCTAAGTCCATTTTTTCTATCAAGGAGCACCAAAAAGGCAAGTAAAAATATAGTAAAAAGTGGATTCATCAAGAGGCACATGAATGAATCAAACTTACACCAGAATGAGAAGGATCCAAAGGCTGTGTAGGTATGAGACTATACAGTTGAGGATAACTTAAATTAATTAATTAGGACTACATATACCAACAAAATGCATTTACTTTTCAGTGGCCTGTCTCTTAGCAGCTACCTGGTAGGCTTTCGGTGGTTAACAACACCTTCAGCAAGTGCACTGAATCGTACAAGTAATATAGTGAAAGTAAAGTATCGTTCCCACAGAGATTGATGCAAACACGTATTGATTCACTAAATTGAACTAATTGAATGCGATTAGGATTAAAGGAGACTCTAAAATATAAATTGATTTCATTCAATTTGCAAGTGAATAAACAACAAAAAATATAAAATAAGATGAGAAAATTTAATGACAAGATAGTTAGGATTAGACTTCACCCATTTTTCATGTGATAAACTAAACTTCCTTACTAGTTCAAGCTGTTCTAAAGATGTTAAGAAAAATTTTCACTAAATTAATTTATATCCAATTTCTTGGTATACAAATTCTCTTACAAAGATTAATTCCTTAATTCCAAATATATGAGTCTAAGGTTTTAGAGCACAAGTAAAACAAAATATCACACACCCAATAATTTATATTCCTAGAAAATTAAATGATAAGGCAAGTAAATCAAGAAGCACAACTACTCATTCCATTTTCCAATGTCAAGAAGGTTCATCAAAACAAAGCATGAGTAGCTAGTTCATACCAAGCATTAAAAATAAATTTACAAGCTAACATTAAAAGAAGCTTAAACTAGATTCAAGAATCTATTTACATCACAATCCCAAAGAAATCCATCAACCCTAACTGCAAAATGTTTAGCAATCCATCATAGACATGAAAATCGCAAGAAAAGAAGGAGAGGTTCCCTTAGCTATGTTCTTGAGAAGAAAATGAATTTGAGAATCTTCTTTAATCTTTCTTTCCAAAGACCCAAGTATGGGTCTGGTCTTCCTGCCCTAAAAGAGTTGCCCCTTGGTTCTCTCTCGCAAAAAACCCCTGCTTCCTTACAATGTGCCTAACAACCTCTTTTATCTTACACAATATGTATTCTTGTCCACGTCAGTAACTTTGCGCCTTGGTACACAAATGTCTATGCTTTGGTGTTGAAAGTCCTGCAACTTCATTAGCTAATCGTGATAAGCGCCTTAGCACACACAACCTTGAGCCTTGGCACAAGGTGACCCGAGAGCACATTGTCACACTTGGGTGGTGCCTTGGCACGCATAGTTGTGCCTTGGCACTGAATAACTTGCAATTAATATCCAAATTTCAACAATTTTCACCAAAACATTAGTAAGGTAAGAAAATTTTAAAAACTAGAATTCTAATAAATTTGGTAGAAATAATGAAAAATAAAAAGTTAAAGAAAAAGTAAAGAGGATTAAAATTAACTAAAACTACATACTACTAGACTCTTAACAAACTCTCCCACACTTAGCTTTTTGCTTGTCTCTAAGCAAACATAAACAACTAACAAACATATAATTTTAAACACAGCTCAAATAAATAGTGAAAAAATCTTAATAAGAGAACAATCATTCCAAAAGAGATAAGTGGCTAAAGCAAAGAATTGGAATAGTAGATTATAAGTATTAAGCCAAATCAAACAGGGCATTTAGGGAAATCAAGTAAATTCAGAAGTAAGTACAAATGCAAACCTTTATACAACCCTTAAAAATCAATAATTATATCGAAGTTGGTTACTGAAACTGAATATGAATACTTTTTTTTTTCTTGCTTTTTTTTTCTTTTATTTTCTCCTTTTGTTTTGGATAGGGGTTTCACGATGTGGTGAAAGAACATTGCCTAATCCCACATTCGACTGATTAAGCTTCAATGGCTTACTCTTACTTAGCAATTCTCTTTCACTCAAGTGATTCAGGTGATTAACCCCACCCCCTGGTTAATCAAGACATTGTAAGTAGTGAAGCAGAGCCCCTACTATATCTATATAATTTGTTTTTTTTCTTTTGCTAATTTTTAACACATCAATTTCAAGAAAGCATGAAAATTTGCGCATGAACTACTTCTAAAACATTTTTGTTTGGAAGAGAGATGCACTAATCATCTTTAGCAAAATACTTTTTCATCAACAGATTCCAAGAATTTGCCAGAGCAACTGAAATTTGGCATAAGTTCTCAAACTAAAATAATATCACATGGCATTATGAGCTGAGCTAGAAGAGCAATGAACAACAAATAAATAAACAAACAAACAATGACATAGACAATCGATTAACACAATCTTAGGATATATTTTAAGACAATAAATACTCCCCTATCTCTTTGTAATGGTGTATCAAATCAATTCTGCAACTTTTGTGGACACCATCAATAATGTCCTTTGTTCATTCCTGGTGGGGTTACTAGTTGTTGCCAACCTCTTATTTTTATCTCTGCCCTAATCTCAAGATACTCCTCTGGTCCCAACAAAAATCCCCTTTCTCAAACAAATTGTCGCGTCACTGTATGGGTGTTGAACTGATTCTCATGGACAGATGAGATAAATTTGTATGAATTGAATTCTCCAAGTAGATTTGTCTGAGAATTTTGGGGCCTTTTATGGTTATGATTATTTTTCCATTTTTCTTTTGATATGGAATCTGTAACTTTTTGGTTTTTTTTTTCTTAGAGGCATTATGAGATGTTGATGAAATGTGGAAGAAGGAAAAAGGGAAAATAGGGAATAAGAGAGGTAATGGTGATTGGGGATTCCCACAAAACTTTGGTAACACAGTAGGGTTCTAACAAAACAGAGAGAAGAAGAGACTCAAAAGGGGAAAAAGGGTTTGGAAAAATATAAAGTGAAACTATGTTGCACTTGAGCTTGAAACATCCAAAGAACTTTACTTCTAATAAAAAAGAAAGCCTAGGCATGAGGAAGTTGGTGCTTAGGCGCAAAATGTTTTGAGAGCTACTTCTTCATTTTTGAGTTGGACCAAGGCACTGAGACTTGTGTGCTTTAATGCTGAACAGAGCACCAAAATCATAAACAGTAGATGCAATTTATGCAATAAAATTGTTCACTCTAAAACTTATCATCAATGATGTAACTAAAAATTATCTATACATGCAAACCATAATGCTTAGCAACTAAAACGTTGTCTAACACAATAAAATATGCATTGCATAAGTAAACTCTAAGCAACCAAAATGATGAGCTAAACATGTCATATCTACAAAGGCAATGCTAAATGCATCAATTATGCAGAATTGTGCTTATTATGCATGGTGCTAGGAGCAAGCTAAATGAACTACACTAAACAAAAGAAAAGGATATAAAAAACTTATGGATTGCCTTCCATAGAGTGCTTGTTTACTGTCCTTAGCTTGACAAGACCAACTTTTATGGTGGAGATGAAAGGGATATACAAGATCTTTGCCTATCTACACCTCCTCCAAGATATAATTTCAACCTTTGGCCATTAACCTTGAAAGTTCTTCCCAATTCAGGTTCTTGCACTTCAATAGAACCAAATAGGGAAACTTCCTTTACCATAAAAGGTCCAGACCACCTAGACTTTAGCTTTCCAGGAAATAAGCGAAGTTTTGAGTTAAAGAGTAAGACTAATTGACTTGGCTCAAAACTTCTATGTACAATGTTTTTATCATGATAAGTTTTGGTCCTTTCCTTGTATATTCTTGCATTCTCATAAGCATTAAGCCTCATTTCATCATGTTCATTAACCTGAATGAGTCTTTTCTCACTAGCAGCTTGATCAGTGCCCAAAAAACCTTGTATTTCATCTCCAATGGCAAGTGGCATGCTTTTTCATACACAAGTTGATATGGTGATAGTCCAATGGCAGTCTTGAAAGCAGTTCTATAAGCCCATAAGGTGTATTGTAACTTTTTAAACCAATCTTTCCTTGAATTATTCACTGTCTTTTCAAGTATGCGCTTGATTTCTCTATTGGACACTTCAACTTGACCACTTGTTTGAGAGTGGTATGGAGTTGCAATTTTATGATGAACATTGTACTTCTTGAGCACATTCTCCAACTTCAAATTGTAAAAATGACTTCCTCCATCACTAATTAAAGCTTGAGAAACTCCAAACCTTGAAAAAACATATTCCTCTTAATGAATGAAACTACCACCCCTTAAGTCATTAGTTGATGTTGGAATGGCTTCCACCCAACGAGAGACATAATCTACTGCCACTAGGATATACACATGAGAGAAGGAAGATGGAAATAGGCCTATGAAGTTGATTCCCCAAACATCAAACAATTCAACTTCTAAGATATTAGTTAGGGGCATTTCATTTCTTTTTGAGATATTCCCCACTCTTTGACAATTGTCACAAGCCTTTGCAAATGAGTGAGCATCCTTGAAAAGTATAGGCCAATAAAATCCACTTTGAAGCACCTTAGTGGCTATTCTTTCTCCATTACAATGACTTCTATATGGTGAGCTATGGCAATGCCATAGAATGCTATGAGCTTCTTCTATGGAAACACATCTTCTGAGTAATCCATCTGGGAAAATCTTGAACAAAAAGGGATCATCCCACAAAAAATGATTAGCATCAAGCAGAAATTTCTTTCTTTGTTGCCATGTAAGGTCTTCGGGCATGACATTTGCTGCCTTAAAATTTGTCATATCTACAAACCATGGCCTCTTTTTTATCATCAAAAGCTTTTCATCTGGAAATTCCTACATTATCTCCTTTTCCTTCACAATGACACTTCCGTCTTTTATCCTTGCCAAATGATCAGCCACCACATTCTCTACGCATTTTTGTCTTTTATTTCTAAGTCAAATTCCTACAATAAGAGAATCCATCTTATTAGTCTTGGTTTTGCATCAGCCTTTCTGAATAGATATTCTAATGCAACATAATCACTATACACCACAATTTTAGAACCAATAAGATATGATCTAAACTTGTCAAAAAGCAAAAACAACTGCAAGCAACTTTTTTTCAGTAGTGGCATAATTTAGTTGGGCTTCATTCAAAACTTTTCTAGCATGGTAAATGACATGAAAAATTATCCCTTTCTTTTCTCCCAAAACAGCCCTAACTGCATAGTCGCTTGCATCACACATTAGTTCAAATTTCAAGTTCTAATTAGGTGCAAAAATAATGGGAGTAGAAATTAATTTCTTCTTTAAAGTATTGAATGCATGCAAACACTCTTCATTAAAATCAAAAGACACATCTTTATTTAATAGAACACACAATGGTTTAACAATCTTAGAGAAATCTTTAATAAACTGCCTATAAAACCCTGCATGTCCTAAAAAACTGCTAATTCCCTTAATATTCATAGGTCGGGTTAATTTTTCAATGACATCTACTTTGGCTCTATCCACTTCAATGCCCTTGCTAGAAATCTTATGACCAAGCACAATGCCTTCCCGGACCTTGAAATGACATTTCTCCCAATTAAGGATTAAATTAGTCTCAATACATCTCTTCAAAAACAAAGAGAGCTTAGTCAAGCAAGTATCAAAAGATGAACCAAAAACTGAAAAATCATCCATGAAAACCTCTATAAATTTTTCAATCATATCACAGAACATAGAAAGCATACACCTTTGAAATGTTGTTAGTGCATTGCATAACCCAAATGGCAACCTCTAGTATACAAAAACTCCAAAAGGACATATGAATGCTATTTTCTCTTGGACTTCAGGATCCACTGTGATCTGATTATACCCAGAATACCCATTAAGAAAGGAATAGTAAGCATGGTTGGCCAGTCTCTGAATCATCTTTTGAGTGAAAAATGATCCCTTCTTGTAGCTTGATTTAGCCTTCAGTAATCGATACACATCCTCTAACCAGTCATAGTGCGAGTGGGAATGAGCTCATTGTTATCATTGTGCACCACAGTCATACCACCTTTCTTAGGCACAACTTGTACTGGGCTCACCCAAGCACTATAAGAAATTGGGTAAATCATGCCAGCTTCAAGCAACTTTAAAACTTCTTTCTTTACAACCTTTTTCATTGTAGGATTCAATCTCTTCTGAGGCTGTACCACTGGCTTGTAATTATCTTCCAACATGATTTTGTGCATACAAAATGCTAGACTTATCCCTTTCAAGTCAGAGATTGTCCAACCAATGGCTTTTTTATGCTCTCCAAGCACACAGAGCAACTTTTCTTCCTCTAAATGTGTTAACTGGTCATTAATTATGATAGGATTAGTGTCATTTTCATCCAGAAAGACATACTTCAGATTTGAGGGAAGTTCATTCAGCTTAATTTTTGGCTTCTCTAGCTATGCATCTATATCATTTTTCAACTCCTCACTTTGCCAAATTTAGGAGGTGTCAATAGGCAAAGCTTCCAAATTAAGCAAACACTCTTCTATGTCAAGATCATTCGCATCTTCCATAGTGGCTGAATTCACTAGAACTTTCACAAGAAAGTTGTCATAGGCAACTTGTCTTAAATTTCTCATAGCCAAATTATCAACCACATCAATGTGCCAACAATGCTCCTTATCATCCAAATGCTTCATAGCTTCAAAAACATTGGAGGTGACATTTTCATCTTGCACTCTCAATGTTAACTCTCCTTGTTCAATATCAATGAGAGCTCTTCCAGTTGCTAAAAATGGTCTTCCAAGAATGAGAGGTACTTTTGCATCCTCATCCATGTCCAACACAATGAAATCCACTGGAAAAATGAATTTATCCACTTTGACCAATATGTAACACCATAATTTAATGTTCTAAATAATTAAATTTTGCAAAATTAGGAATAATAAAATTTTTCATTTAGATGGTTTCTCAAAGCACAGTTCAATAAAATATTTTGAAATATAGATGGATTACAAATTTATATCAATTATTGCTACAAGACTTAATTAATACATCAAATTTTCAAAATAAATTTCTAAGCCATATAGCAGTTTCATCCGTCCTTCACTGGGCCCGGTGCTGATCGTCTTGGTCACCTGAAAAATAAATGTAAGAGTGAGTACTCTACACTATCACACATATATAAACAATTATAGAGTCTCACCTTGCCCATCCCACACATTTTCTAATATATTTTTTATCATGCGTCAACAAGTACAATACATTCATTCTCAATCACAAACAGGTGCACTCACTACGTCATCAATCAACCCACACTCACACACGTGTGCTCACTGCATATAGTCACGCTCACTGTGGCAATGTGATCATAGTTTCTCTGATGCCCTCAACCTCAGGGACTTACTCAGGTCACACCATGGATGGTCACTGGATAGCTCCCGCTCCACGGATACAATGTGTGCGGTATTGAGCCACCCAACAAAGGTGTTAGTCAGAGGCCGAGTCAGGAGGAGAGTGTGTGGCCTGTAGTGCACCCACGCTCATTGTTGGTGTCTCCACCACCTTCTCTTCCCTAAGGTATTTCTACCGCCCTCATCTTCCACACCTCTAGTGTATTGCTGAATCATTCACGATATTCCAACACATTCAAACACAACCACATTTATATTCAACATGTCATCACACACTCTTTCAATCATCTCATATTATTCATCCTCAATCGAAGGTACAAACAGTCATATTTCACCACATAATGTTCAATCACACAGTTTTCATCACAATGTTCCTACAATCATTCATTTCATCACACACAAAGCACCCATCACAACTATCATATTACACTCAACATCAATCACACTATGCTTTATACAACTATTTCACTATAATCTCGCTACAATTTGATCAATTCTAGTAAAACACACATATTCCCAGCCATTCACATAGGAATACATAGCAAAATAACTAATTCAAACGCAATGAGATAGGGTAGAGTTCCCCCTTACCTCAAATCAAAGACCACAATGTAGACCAACAATAAAAGCGTCCCCTACATGGATATTAATTGCAAAATATAGGGAAAATCCCATGAGATATTCTTGTTGCACTGCACCCAGCAATGCACCCTCCACTATCGCCCTCTCACTACAGCAAGAGAACTCTCGCTGCAGCGAGAAAGCAACAGTTTCACCCTTCTCTCCCAGTGCTTTCTCTCTATAATGAGAATCCTCTCACTATAGCGAGAACAACACAGTTTCATACCTTATGCCTAGGGTATTCTCGCTGTAGTAGGGCTTTCTCGCTACAGCGAGAATACCCTGCAACACTGACATTTTATTGAATTTTTACTTGTCTTTTTAGTATTCTTTGATAGAAAAAGTAGACTTAGGAAGTGTAAATAACATAAAAACATCATTTTGGTCAAATATAATAGATTTCTTAATTTTTGGCTAATTTACATTGATTTACATAGATATAATTTGCAATTTTGATCATTTGAACAATTATGTGGGATTTTCTAGGCTTATTCCATGGACTTTTAGCCTTTGAGAAAATTTGAGTTGAAAGTGACCACATTTAGAAGTGATAGTGAACACTACAATAAGCTAGATCTAGAGGGCAGCCTAAAGTGATCACTTTCAGAGTCATAGTAGACACTACAGAGGCCCCAGACTAAAGAGGGCTTGTGCATAGCCACTTTAGATCCCATAGTGGACACTCCAGAGAAGGACAAATTGACCCGGTCCTGCGCTTAGTCACTTTCATTCCATAGTAGCTACGTGCGCTGTGCATAATCACTTTGAGCTCATAGTGGACACTCTAGAGAGGGATGACAGGATGGAGGCTACGCTACTATGACTTTCCTAGTAGCTACTATGGGCTACGACCATTACACTATAAATAGAATTTTAGAAATTAGGGTTGAGGGTCTTTTTACATTTTTAGTTTTTGCCATTTTGGGAATGCTTGCAAAGCTTAGGTCAACCTTGG